CAAAAATACCAGCACCAGATAATCTGTACACAAATAAACCAGCACCAGATAATATGTACACAAATATACCAGCACCAGATAATCTGTACACAAATAAACCAGCACCAGATAATCTGTACACAAATATACCAGCACCAGATAATCTGTACACAAATATACCAGCACCAGAAGGTTTTTGTACACAAATAAAACAGCACCAGAAAATCTGTACACAAATAAACCAGCACCAGATAATCTGTACACAAATATACCAGCACCAGAAGTTTTGTACACAAATAAAACAGCACCAGATAATCTGTACACAAATATACCAGCACCAGAAGTTTTGTACACAAATAAAACAGCACCAGATAATCTGTACACAAATAAACCAGCACCAGATAATATGTACACAAATATACCAGCACCAGATAATCTGTACACAAATAAACCAGCACCAGATAATCTGTACACAAATATACCAGCACCAGAAGTTTTGTACACAAATAAAACAGCACCAGAAAATCTGTACACAAATAAACCAGCACCAGATAATCTGTACACAAATATATCAGCACCAGAAGTTTTGTACACAAATAAAACAGCACCAGATAATCTGTACACAAATATACCAGCACCAGAAGTTTTGTACACAAATAAACCAGCACCAGATAATCTGTACACAAATATACCAGCACCAGAAGTTTTGTACACAAATAAACCAGCACCAGATAATCTGTACACAAATATACCAGCACCAGAAGTTTTGTACACAAATAAACCAGCATCAGATAATCTGTACACAAATATACCAGCACCAGAAGTTTTTTGTACACAAATAAAACAGCACCAGAAAATCTGTACACAAATAAACCAGCACCAGATAATCTGTACACAAATATATCAGCACCAGATAATCTGTACACAAATATACCAGCACCAGATAATCTGTACACAAATATACCAGCACCAGAAGTTTTTTGTACACAAATAAAACAGCACCAGAAAATCTGTACACAAATATACCAGCACCAGATAATCTGTACACAAATATACCAGCACCAGATAATCTGTACACAAATATACCAGCACCAGAAGTTTTGTACACAAATAAAACAGCACCAGATAATCTGTACACAAATAAACCAGCACCAGATAATCTGTACACAAATATACCAGCACCAGATAATCTGTACACAAATATACCAGCACCAGAAGTTTTGTACACAAATAAAACAGCACCAGAAAATCTGTACACAAATAAACCAGCACCAGATAATCTGTACACAAATATATCAGCACCAGAAGTTTTGTACACAAATAAAACAGCACCAGATAATCTGTACACAAATATACCAGCACCAGATAATATGTACACAAATATACCAGCACCAGAAGTTTTGTACACAAATAAAACAGCACCAGATAATCTGTACACAAATAAACCAGCACCAGATAATCTGTACACAAATATACCAGCACCAGAAGGTTTGTACACAAATAAAACAGCACCAGATAATCTGTACACAAAAAAAACATGACACAGAAAATCTCTACAGAGATAAACAGTTATCATTCTATGCTTATCATTGTTCATTTAATGTCACACAATTATTACAGATAAATAGACCAACAAAATGTACAACAAAGAAGACAAACAGCACAGACCTGTCAGACCCATAAGAAAGCTATTAAGGAATTTTTCCAGTCCAAATTACTGAAATGTTGATAGTAATTAAATACTCAAAATACTAAATGAAATTTATTGAATGTTTTTCTCTATTAAATTGTTGTTCAAAAGCTCTAAAATTTCAAAGAAAAGAATATTTGATAATTACAAGATTTTACATAAAGAAGATTTTTGGAAGAGTGAACAAAGCTGAAGGTTAGTGCATTGTCTGGTTTAATAAGAAATATATAGAGAGGTTGTGTGACACCTATCATTATTCAAACTTCCAGTCGATAAAAAAGTGGTTAGGCGATGTAAGATAACCCCCCCTACTAGGCTGGTTATTGCCTGTGACTCTGAGCCTTTTTCTCTCTAAGGGACTTTTCCTCATGAACTCTGGAAATGGTGAACAGATCACAATATAAAGCATGTACAGCACTTTCTTAAACTTTTAAATGAAGTCTGACACTACAACTATATCCAATAAACTGAACAGATTATTTTTCTTGACTTTGTTTAACAAGTTAACATTTAACAATTAAATCTACATGGAATATTAGACCATATGTGTTTTCTACCATGATTTTAACTTCAAGTTGACCAAGTGAATGCCGACCTCAAACTGATGTTGTCAGAGATTACTGGTATCACTGTGCCAGGACCCTTACCTACCCGATACTGTTGACTTGGACAAAACGGGTCTAATTAGAAGTGCTGGCCATTTTACCTGTGATATCTGAAGCGTACCTCACAGAGTCAAACCTTGATTAATCAAACAAATATTTCACATCATGTTTTAAATATTCTAGCATATGCAATGAAAAAAATATATTGCTGTCATTTGATAACAAGTATCCTTGCCTATGAACTGTTGTCAAAAAGTACAATCTTTTACGAATTGAATCCAAATTTCTTTGCTATAATTTTCTGCCTTGAAGGTAGGTTAGACTCCTAGGGTGTGCTATCTGATTCATTTTAAACATAAATCTTTAAGGTATGAAAGCAAAACATCATCAAAGCTTTGTACAATTACCACACACAGTGACCAAACAGTGATATAAAGATTGATGATTTTATCATAGCTTCAATGATCTCCTAAAAGAACTTGAACAATTTGTTATTTTCCAAACTTTATAGAAAAGAAACATATCACACTGATATGAAAGATTGCTCATTATACATACCAATACATTATTTGTCCATTTTGATAGATTCTTGCTGATTTGAGTGAAAGGTATCTCAAATTTACACCCAACAAATAAATCATTCCAAGAGTTCTACCAACCATTTTTGTATGTTTGCAGAAAAACTAGTTACTTCTATCACAGTAGTTCATCCTTAATACCCTTAAACTGGTGAATACTAAGGGAAGTAACTCATCTTAATTATGGCGCACATAAGATTTTACAAAAAAATAGTAGATTCTAATTGGCCAACATGTCTGTAATTCATGAAGCACTCATTCATGATGTATTTATAAGGACAGTAGTTGAATAATCAATATTAAAACAGATGAAAGGAATGAACTTAGGAACCCTGCACTAAAAGGCACAGAAAGTTTCCAACAACTCATCCTCGTACAGATCTTTAAAGTGGTGGAATTATGTGTGGATGGTTAGTAGAGAAAATCCTCTATGATAACCTATTCATTAAGAGTTCAGGCAAGAGAGAGTAGTGTTCCGTGATTGTGTAATACATGTGGTAGTGTTTTTGACTGCTGAGTGAGGTTCAAATGTCCTTCCTGTACATGGTAGGAGGGGTTGATAGGGATTGGGAGGTATTATGTAAGATCACATCTGGTCCAGTAAATACACATTGACATTGTAATCATCACCCCATGCACTTGTAATCATCATACTAACATCTATGACCCCCTGTACACACCCAAGTCATCACACTCATCTCAATGACCCCCTGTACACACCCAAGTCATCACACCCACCTCAGTGACCCCTTATACTCACAATCATCACACCCACCTCAGTGACCCCTTATACTCACAATCATCACACCCACCTCAGTGACCCCTTATACTCACAATCATCACACCCACCTCCATGACCCCGTATACTCACAATCATCACACCCATCTCAATGACCCCTTGTACTCACAATCATCACACCCATCTCAATGACCCCTTGTACTCACAATCATCACACCCACCTCCATGACCCCTTGTACTCACAATCATCACACCCACCTCAATGACCCCGTATACTCACAATCATCACACCCACCTCCATGACCCCTTGTACTCACAATCATCACACCCACCTCAATGACCCCTTGTACTCACAATCATCACACCCACCTCAATGACCCCTTGTACTCACAATCATCACACCCACCTCAATGACCCCTTGTACTCACAATCATCACACCCATCTCAATGACCCCTTGTACTCACAATCATCACACCCACCTCCATGACCCCATATACTCACAATCATCACACCCATCTCAATGACCCCTTGTACTCACAATCATCACACCCACCTCCATGACCTCTTGTACTCACAATCATCACACCCATCTCAATGACCCCTTGTACTCACAATCATCACACCCACCTCCATGACCCCTTGTGCTCACAACAACCTTACCTATTTCAATGACCCCTTGTACTCAATGACCTCTTGTACTCACAATCATCACACCCACCTCAATGACCCCTTGTACTCACAATCATTACACTCACCTCAATGACCCCTTGTTTTCACAATCACCACACCTACTCAATGACCCCTTGTACTCAAAATAACCCCTTCTCACAATCAACACACATATCTCAATGACCCCTTGTACTCACAATTATCACACCTACTCAATGACCCCATGCAATTATAACAAAATTTGTATAATTCTGAAAACATTAACAACAAATCATATGATACACATGAGAGTTATGAGATATACATTATTTTGACTATGACCTTTGATCTGATGACCTTAGGTCATTTGACATTTGGATGATTCCTGACAACATTTCTCAATATGTCATCAATTTTGACCAATTCTTCTCCATAGATGTCACAACAAAATGACCAACAAATTAAGCCAAAATTTGAACTTGCCGTTTGACATAATGACCTTGAGAACATATCTACATATCATAGCTGTATCACCATGTACCCATCAGAAATATTGGCTTTAGATTCAAATTGTTGATTCTGAGAACATCACTTGCAAAGAAAGTGATGACTTGCCAAACAGTGAGAAATCTAACAAAATAGAGTTGACTTGAAACCTACTCTCAGCACCTACCCCATATCATCACTTGGAATGAAAGTGATGACTTGCCAGACAGTGAAACCTACTCTCAGCACCTACCCAAATCACAACACAACTTACCTTATCTAATTCTGCTTTTTCTCGGATTAGTTTTTCTTGTAACTCTCTCTCTTCTCTGTGTCTTTCTGAAAGTTCCTGACGTATCTTTATAGAGTTTTTACGTTTTACATCTGCAATAGTCTGTTGAAGTCTGCGAACAGACTGTTCCTGTTTCTGACGTGTGTATTCTGCATTTCTCACTTTGTTATACAGATTCTGTTCAAATTCATCACCTTTTGTCACCATTTTCTGTAAAATCAAATTAGTTAACATATAACGTACTACAATTCTGAACATGATCTAATGGGGAAAACAATAAACAATCAAAATGGAACTACATGTTTGCATGTTTTTTTTAAACATAGAAAACATTCTAGACAGTATTGATATTGCTACATGACCTAAAATGATATTAATTAAGTTCCCCATATTGATTTTATCCTGATTTATTTTATTATTCTTTCTCCTTCATCTGCTTCCTGCCATAAAAGGTCTCCAACTACTTTCTCCAAAACTGAAAGTTGGATCTTCATCAACCTTTGCAGGATTCATACTGATGGCTTCTAGATGTGCAATAAAAAATCCATTTTCTGATTTGACAAGATGGTCGCCATTTTTTAACTTACTTGTAACTTCTATTCTATTCAGTGCATCAAGATGAGAACTACTGGAAAGGACAAAATTCTCACTATGGTGGTATAATAAAATAACGACATTGCCGCCAAATGGCTGCTTCTGATTATTTGAAAATTTAGATACTGTCAGATTTTAAATGAATTTTGGTAAGCAGGTGTAACATGATCATTTCCTGATTCCTGATTGGACGAAATAGCTGACCAGGGGGTTAATCAAATATTTCATTTTTAAAGGTGTATTTCAGTCTGTTTCACCAAACTTCCTTCCCTATGTTGAAGTACTTTACTAAGCATTATTCACAACTGAAGGGATAGTTTGGGGGACTAATGCCATGGGCACACAACAGTTGTATGAGGATTTTATTCTATATATTTTTTTCTATTGTTTTTATTTTCCCACAGTTTTGTATAGTTTTAACAAATAAATAAAACTGTATAATGTGATATATGCAGAGAAATGATGGAGTACTTTTGATGAAACATACCTCCCAATGTCTTTGCTTGCACACACAGTTTTGTCCATCAATTTCTCTCAGGGTATCAATTACAATTAAATGCCAATGAAATGCTTGTGATAGAACAAACATCATCACTGCTATAACAAAATTATTACCCAACATGAAGTCTAAGAGCACCACAACAGGGTGTTATCTCTTGACACCAGCTGTCATCATTTTAATTTAACGAGATTCTACTCTGTACTCTCAGAATTCCTGAATGATGTTGTCTACTAACTAGTGACTGGGTCAAAAGTGACAATATCAACCATTCTTCCTACTTATCTTAAGTAGATGCATGGTGATAGAACAAAGGTATACATCGTCATTGGTGATGGCCAAAATGGAGAGAAATAGATTCTGGTTTTATGATGGTCAGCAGTGATGGCTGACAAAAAGGAGAAATAGATTCTAGCTAGGGATTGCTGACAGAATGGAGAAATAGATTCTAGTTGGGGATAGCTGACAGAATGGAGAAATAGATTCTAGTTGGTGATGACTAACAGAAGAAATCAATAGAGTCAGGTTGGCAATGGCTGACAGAAGGGAGAAATAGATTCTAGTTGGTGATGGCTGACAGAAGGGAGAAATAGATTCTAGTTGTCGATGTCTGAAAGAAGGGAGAAATAGATTCTAGTTGTCGATGTCTGAAAGAAGGGAGAAATAGATTCTAGTTGTTATATCTACAGAAGTGAGAATTAACACTGTTGTACATTACCTTTGGTAAGGTACACTGTTCTGATATCAAATCTCCTGAGTTATGATATTAAGTTGCTTGTAAATGGATGAATTAGTGGACTCTAGTCTATCCGTGTATGCTCACATATAATTACATATCTGCAACAACTGATTATGCAGCAGGATAAAAAGATCCCCTACGAAACTACCAAAAAAATGAGAATTATTAAATATCAAAACATCACTTTATAATATGGGGCCAACTAAGCTCAAAATCACCAGGTAGCTTAACCAATTTCCAGAGATTTATTGAAAAAAATCTTTACAATTTACAGTAAAAGTTACCATATTTGTCAAGTGAAGACCAGTATTGATTTTTGGTTTTCAATCCATTTAGCATGACTCCATTTAAAATTTTGGAAACTGATTAAAAACAAAAGATACATGTAGCTTTATAATTTAGCATTAAGTTGACAAAACCATGAGTGAATCGTCCAAAGTGCAGACTGTGCAGGATGAGTGTGTTATAAGGTCCTCGATATCAACTGCCAAAGGAGGCAAAAATTATTATTAAATAGAGTCACAGAGCATTAAATTGCTATCTTCTCAAGCCACAAAAATCTTCAAAAACTGTTTGCAACTTTTTTTCCTATTCAATAGTCTTGAAAAGAAAGTGACAATAAATAAGATTGAATGTCTGGACTGATAGAGAAGTCTGTCACCTCTATGTCAGCTGTCATTTTGGTAGGAGTACTGAAAAGATTCCATTCAGGTAAGAGGGTATGTGTATGAATAGACAACATTATTGATCAATAAAAGAAACAACTATTTATCATGGCAGAGGACCACCCTGACAAACCTCCACAAAAAAATTGTTAGACTTTCAAAATATTATCACACATGGCAAATCTCTACACATACTGAAAACTTGTATAACAAATCTCTACACATACTGAACCATTATATAACAAATCTCTACACATACTGAACCATTATATAACAAATCTCTACACATACTGAACCATGATATAACAAATCTCTACACATACTGAACCATTATATAACAAATCTCTACACATACTGAACCATTATATAACAAATCTCTACACATACTGAACCATTATATAACAAATCTCTACACATACTGAACCATTATATAACAAATCTCTACACATACTGAACCATTATATAACAAATCTCTACACATACTGAACCATTATATAACAAATCTCTACACATACTGAACCATTATATAACAAATCTCTACACATACTGAACCATTATATAACAAATCTCTACACATACTGAACCATTATATAACAAATCTCTACACATACTGAACCATTATATAACAAATCTCTACACATACTGAACCATTATATAACAAATCTCTACACATACTGAACCATTATATAACAAATCTCTACACATACTGAACCATTATATAACAAATCTCTACACATACTGAACCCATTATATAACAAATCTTCACACATACTGAACCATTATATAACAAATCTCTACACATACTGAACCATTATATAACAAATCTTCACACATACTGAACCATTATATAACAAATCTCTACATCATTATATAACAAATCTCTACACATACTGAACCATTATATAACAAATCTTCACACATACTGAACCATTATATAACAAATCTCTACACATACTGAACCATTATATAACTCTCTACACATATATAACTGAACCATTATATAACAAATCTCTACACATACTGAACCATTATATAACAAATCTCTACACATACTGAACCATTATATAACAAATCTCTACACATACTGAACCATTATATAACAAATCTCTACACATACTGAACCATTATATAACAAATCTCTACACATACTGAACCATTATATAACAAATCTCTACACATACTGAACCCATTATATAACAAATCTCTACACATACTCTCTACACATACTGAACCCATTATATAACAAATCTCTACACATACTGAACCATTATATAACAAATCTCTACATCATTATATAACAAATCTCTACACATACTGAACCATTATATAACAAATCTCTACACATACTGAACCATTATATAACAAATCTCTACACATACTGAACCATTACATAACATCTCTATAAACAATATCTCTACACATACTGAACCATTATATAACAAATCTCTACACATACTGAACCATTATATAACAAATCTCTACACATACTGAACCATTATATAACAATATAACTCTACACATACTGAACCATTATATAACAAATCTCTACACATACTGAACCATTATATAACAAATCTCTACACATACTGAACCATTATATAACAAATCTCTACACATACTGAACCATTATATAACAAATCTCTACACATACTGAACCATTATATAACAAATCTCTACACATACTGAACCATTATATAACAAATCTCTACACATACTGAACCATTATATAACAAATCTCTACACATACTGAACCATTATATAACAAATCTCTACACATACTGAACCATTATATAACAAATCTCTACACATACTGAACCATTATATAACAAATCTCTACACATACTGAACCATTATATAACAAATCTCTACACATACTGAACCATTATATAACAAATCTCTACACATACTGAACCATTATATAACAAATCTCTACACATACTGAACCATTATATAACATTATATAACAAATCTCTACACATACTGAACCATTATATAACAAATCTCTACACATACAACCATTATATAACAAATCTCTACACATACTGAACCATTATATAACAAATCTCTACACATACTGAACCATTATATAACAAATCTCTACACATACTGAACCATTATATAACAAATCTCTACACATACTGAACCATTATATAACAAATCTCTACACATACTGAACCATTATATAACAAATCTCTACACATACTGAACCATTATATAACAAATCTCTACACATACTGAACCATTGTATAACAAATCTCTACACATACTGATACATTCTAACTAGATATGTCAACAAATATTCCTTCTGTAGTGTGGAATAGGAAAATGGTATTGGAATATTTGTTCTTGTGATTTTAAGAAATAAACATATTTGGAATATCTCTAAAATTCATGTATTCTCTGTCTACACATTGTCCAAGAATTTTGTCAGCTTCATCATCAAAGTAAAATATGTATTAATATTCAAAGTGTTAAACTTGTACTGTTCATCATGAAATTAATTTGTCTATTGCCTGAGGGTCAGAGGTCATCCCTAACCAGGTAAGTTTTGCACATCACTGGGATGAAACAACAGAGATCAATGCCATACCTCTAATATTGTCGTGAATGTCTGCCTAACAGCCACTTTAATAAGCAATTAAATAAGATATTTCTGTGGGATGCTTATGGACAGTAATCATAAAATACTATGATATTTTCGCATTTTAAAACCGAGCCCATAAGCTAAATAAATAGGCCTAGAAATTGATCTCATTTATGTGTCATATTGACGAAATTGTTCAGTTCTAAATACTCTAAATATCTCAATACGGAATTGATATAAATAGAAATATTCGAACATTTGAATACTAAACCAGACGTATATTTGCATGGTAATTTCTATCAAATGGACACCCCTGACTATAACATATCTTTATACAAACAGACTAATTAAAACAAATCCCTTTACAGAATGACACATTATAACAAATCTTTACACATATTGACACATTAGAGCAAAACTCTAGGCTGACACAGTGTAACAAATCTCTACACAAACTGACACAGTGTAACAAATCTCTACAAAAACTGACACAGTGTAACAAATCTCTGCACAAACTGACACAGTGTAACAAATCTCTGCACAAACTGACACAGTGTAACAAATCTCTGCACAAACTGACACAGTGTAACAAATCTCTGCACAAACTGACACAGTGTAACAAATCTCTACACAAGCTGACACAGTGTAACAAATCTCTACACAAGCTGACACAGTGTAACAAATCTCTACAAAACTGATGGATTATACCAAATCTCTACACAAGCTGACACAGTGTAACAAATCTCTACACAACTGATGGATTATATCAAATCTCTACACAAACTGACACAGTGTAACAAATATCTACAAAACTGATGGATTATACCAAAACTAAACAAATTGACACATATCAAGTTTCTACACAAACTGAATCATTATTACAAATCTCAAAGATGACACATTGTACTAAATCTCTACATAAGATATCACACTCAAATGTCAACATATAAAGACTTAAAATATAAATTCTCTTCTAACTATTAGCTTCTAGCTTTTCCATACACTATACCAATTCTTCATTTATAACTGTGATATAAAATCACTCTCATTGAACTTTGATTCCTCTACTGGATTTTTCTTGACAGATTTTGATATTCATTGCAGCATGCCCTGTTTTCCAGTGACTTGAATTAATGTGAAATTCTCATCTTCCTACAAATCATTACTACCACCTAAAGCCATTATAAAGCTCATCCTGACCATCCACAAAAATTACAAATTTGACGATCAAAACATATCCAATTTTCTGAACAAAGAATGACCATATGAGCATAAAGCAGACATTTTTCTACTGTACTTATTCAGGATAAAAACACCACATGCTTTACAAAACATTTCTTAAAATATATCTACAGGGTGGTCTGATCTCATTGTTGAATATTAATTTGAACATTTAACTGATTCTGACGAAAAGTGACATAGCATTTTATATTCTGGGTTGTACAAATGATCAAAAGTCTTGCGGGTCCATTATGTAGCAATCACAATGTGTGTTCGGACACGTTTCTTATTTGGGAGACTTAATGTTTGTTCTTACAACTTCTAGACCTCATACTGTTAAACAGTGTACACACTATACTTAATGTATAAGCAATGTCAAAACCATTTTACACTGTCACAAATAGCTTTTTTTGTTAAAACAGCAATATTAGATTATTTTTCAACACAAAATATACCTTGAAAATTGGCATTCGTCTAGGCCAAGTCTAGCCTTGCTCTATTCATGATAGATCCAAGAACATGGCAATATGTTATGTATGTATAGTGGGTCTGTTATAAACTACTGTGGAAAACTATAAACTTTTCAACAGACAGAATGTTTCGGTCGACACAAAAAAAACAGGTTATAAGCTGAGAATGATTGCAGCATTGTAGTGCGACATGTATTAAGGCAATGTCAGACTCAGCTCCCAGTATGTGTTGAATGCAAAACAGTCAGCAGTTAATCCTAATAAAATGAAGTGGTAGTTTAACTATCTATATAATTATACAGAAATGAGGCTGGATTAACCCTATTTTTGCATATAACACACTGCTTGACCCTGGCAAGGCCCAGAAAGAAATATCTTAATTCTAAAATCACACATTTTTGTGTTCTTATTTTGGTATACAAAACATTGCCTTCTCTCAATTTACCTATAAACAAGTCTGATGTCTGGATGTTGTTACTTGGCCTAAATAGGCCATTTCATTTTCACAGTTCAAGGAAAAAGACTGGAAAAAAGGTCATGATCTTCCTATTTTTTATTACACAATATCTGTAGTGATGAACATTTATCCTAATTATGAAGCTTTCATTTGAAACACTTGAAGTATGTATTTTGGTATGTCAAGGTGAATAGTCAAACAGAGGTCAGCATTCCTGTTTTAGTTGTAGACTTTCCTTACATAATACTTGTATTTGCAACAGATTCTTATGATAGGCTTAGTGAAGGGTCAAATAGAGGGTGAATTTCATATTTCAGTACGAATAGTAGCACATTCTTATGTCAGGTCATAGTGAAAGGTCAAATAGAGGGTGAATTTCACATTTCAGTACAAATAGTAGCACATTCTTATGATAGGTCAAAGTGAAAGGTCAAATAGAGGGTGAATTTCACATTTCAGTACAAATAGTAGCACATTCTTATGATAGGTCAAAGTGAAAGATCAAAAAGAGGTTGCTAAGTCCATTTTTAAAGTACACAGTATTGCGAATTTCCCTGTCAACAGAGATTTAAACTGCAGTGAGCTGCTCATCCATTTGACTCATCGAGTAATCAAATAACCCATGCTTTTTCCTCAAGACAGCTTGCTTTAGAACACCTTAAGGTTTATCACTATTCAGTGCTATCAACTCAGATATTGATAGTCACCTAGACTCTTGTCGCCATGTACACCTTCACATGCCATGATTAAACATCTGATTGAGTGAGACAAGGATTCTAGACATGGTGTAATGAGGGAGGACAGAGAGACTTATCTTGCATAAGATAGGTAGTTTTCAGTTTGGATAATCTTAAATCTATAATTTAATTGTTAGTTCAATTTGTTCTGAATAAGTAGATATTTTCTGTTCATAAGCAATCCCTGCTGGAGCTCGCTTAAGTCGGCACCATGAAGAAGTAAGATACATTCAAGTCCATGTAAAAAATTTTGGAAATCAGAATTTATCTCGTTTGTAAGAGATTCTATAACACTAGATCAAGATACATTGAACTGTAGGTCAATATACAGTGTGTAAAATTGTTGCTACACACGTTCTTGTGAGAAAACGGCAGCCCATGTAACTTTAACAGGTCATTGCAAAATCAGGACTATTCCCAAAACAAGAAGTATCCTTAATCATTTATCTTACGATTTGGAGCTTTTTGGCAAGGGTTTTTATTTTTTTTTTTTTTCAAGGTGTGATTAGAACATGATGTAGCAAAACAAAGACAGCATGCTACTTTTGATAGGTTTCCTACATGCTAGAACAGTGTTAGATTTCTTTCTCTTCTTAAACAACAATGGAAAGCACCACACTTGTTACAATAAGAGAATCATGCATGTAAAATTTAGGAAGAGATGCTTAGAGATTTGAACTAGAAAATGACCTAAGTCTGTCCATCCTGGAATAATGAACCATTCATAATGTTATTAGCAGCCAATACTGTGAGCTGCAGCTTCAAAAATTAAGAAGAGGTGTAATAAAGATGTAATGAATTAAGTACTGTATATATTTACTAATATACAGTGGTTTATTTATTTGTATATCTGATTATACTCTAAGTTTTAGTGAAAAACAAATCTGGAAAATGACCTGGTAAAGGTTGTTTGGCACATGACCCTTGTTTTAGCCGGTCATGACCAGACATTTCACTCTGAGAGGTCGGCAATACTCAGTACATTGCACATTCTCCTGATCTACCTGTACATCTGGGCAAAATGCCCATTCTGGAAAGATATGCTAGGAAACCTTATGTTGCTTAAGAAGTAATGACAAAAATGGTCAAAAAACACTACCTGGAAGAATTTAAGCTGATCATCGTGTTCCTTGCGCCTGTGATCATTGTAACGTTTCTGGAATCTCGCATCCCATACAGCCTGTTTTTCATCTTCCTTCATCTTCTTTTCGGACATTGTCGAGGCCAGTTGGTTGATCCTCCTAGCATTGTGGGCCTGTAACATACAGAGACATATCTTGCAGTGTTATAGACCTGCTCAGTCATACAGGTTCTGGTTATAATTATCATTGAGCATATCATACACATTAAGTGTAGAACTCAAAATTCCTGTAAAAATTAAGACAACAAATACCCTAATGACACACTTTCTCCATGTGTTTGTTTAGCTTATATATATTAAGAACTTGAAATTCTTTTTAAACTAAAATTAATTTATCTTAAAATATTTTGGTGTCTTATTTTTATAGCACAAGTAACCTAACAACTACATTAGACTGCCATATAGAAGAATTTTATTATTGTTCAGCAACTTCTTCAGTTTTCAGTAAGAACCTATCATTTCTATATGCTTAAACAGTATTTCCAGTCCAAAGTCTCCCTCTAATATTGGTGACAAACACTAGCACACTCCGACCCCCTTTCTTTCGATAACTGATAATTAAGACATGTTACTTAGAGAATTACAAGATTTCTATCCCTTTGTTGACAATATATAGGTGTTGGTTTAATCCTGGGTAGTTGATCATATCTGTGTAACTTAGCGAGCATGAACATGAGTGAGTCTTTAGATCCTTGCTGACTACACTGACAGGACACCGAGCCCTTCCTGTCTTCTCTCTACCACCCAGATAATACACTGCAGTTTTAAATAAAAACAAAAAGTTTAAAATTTAATCAAGTAATGTGTGTATACCTTGAAAAGCTGTTATAGCCCCGGAGAGCTGTAAATCTCTTCCTTCCTCCCATTACACCCAGAAGACTAATTTATTAAAGCAGTTATCATGTTATCCATCAAACACTGTTGATACAGGCACATGGGACACAAAATCAACTCTCAACATTAAAGCACGCAGCACTAGATGTTGACATTCATTCAGCTAAGTAAATCATTAGTTTTGGATAACATGTAATTTGAGGTTGTAACTTTCTCATCTATTTTCAATTTTCTTCAAATTAAGGCCAGCTGATTACTCTCAGTATGAATGACCACCAAGATTTCATTAGAATTTATGGTGGTGGCTAAGATTAAATGTTACCAGTGTAAAAGAATGACTGGGTTTTTGACAAATAAGTGTAGCTATGCAGATCTGGTATGTATATGCAGACCAAAGAATGCTTCACAAACTTAACACTCACTTACTATATAATTAGGGATGAAAAATTTCAATTCAATGGATGTGAATTTGCTGTTGACGAGACCTACATATCATTTACAATCACCCTATATTTTCTTTTCAATATAGAAGCTCTCAGAATAACAAACTTGTATTTAATGGCGTTCACCTGTGTAGAAATGTCCTGTACCACACATCCTGTAAATCTGTGTCATACACCTGTACATTTCACAACTTACGATAAAATTACAATATGCTATCATGTTTAACACATTTTAATGTTATCTAAACTGGTACAATTTTTTAATGCAGTGAATAAATATCAACTGTCTTTAATTAACTTTAAATAAGTCCTTAACATTGTCTTATAACAATATCAACTACAAAATTCAGCTGACTGCAATACAACCTTGTAACATTTCCTTGAATTACAACATTACCTCTTGTAACTTCCAACATTACCTCTTGTAACTTCCTACATTACCTCTTGTAACTTCCTACATTACCTCTTGTAACTTCCTACATTACCTTTTGTAACTTCCAACATTACCTCTTGTATCTTCCTACATTACCTTGAATCACAATATTACCTTCTGTAACTTCTAACCTTACCAAATTACCAAACAGCCATGCAATATCTTCTAACCTTACCTAATTACCAAACAGCCATGCAATAACTTCTAACCTTACCTAATTACAATACAGCCATGCAATAACTTCTAACCTTACCTAATTACAATACAGCCATGCAATATCTTCTAACCTTACCTAATTACAATACAGCCATGCAATATCTTCTAACCTTACCTAATTACCAAACAGCCATGCAATATCTTCTAACCTTACCTAATTACAATACAGCCATGCAATATCTTCTAACCTTACCTAATTACAATACAGCCATGCAATAACTTCTAACCTTACCTAATTACAAAACAGCCATGCAATAACTTCTAACCTTACCAAATTACCAAACAGCCATGCAATAACTTCTAACCTTACCTAATTACAAAACAGCCATGCAATAACTTCTAACCTTACCTAATTACCAAACAGCCATGCAATATCTTCTAACCTTACCTAATTACAATACAGCCATGCAATAACTTCTAACCTTACCTAATTACCAAACAGCCATGCAATAACTTCTAACCTTACCTAATTACCAAACAGCCATGCAATAACTTCTAACCTTACCTAATTACAATACAGCCATGCAATATCTTCTAACCTTACCTAATTACAATACAGCCATGCAATAACTTCTAACCTTACCTAATTACCAAACAGCCATGCAATATCTTCTAACCTTACCTAATTACAATACAGCCATGCAATAACTTCTAACCTTACCTAATTACCAAACAGCCATGCAATAACTTCTAACCTTACCTAATTACCAAACAGCCATGCAATATCTTCTAACCTTACCTAATTACCAAACAGCCATGCAATAACTTCTAACCTTTCCTAATTACCAAACAGCCATGCAATAACTTCTAACCTTACCTAATTACCAAACAGCCATGCAATAACTTCTAACCTTTCCTAATTACAATATATGTACTACCTTCAACTTCTTTGCTTTGCCCGATTACAATACAGCTATGAGAACATAAACAGTGGAGCAAAACAAATAAATCTGTTTACATTTATTTATTCTACTGTGAGGTTTCAGAACCCTGTCTTGGAATTTTCTTTTTTGGAAGTATGTCGTAGATTATCAACAACTGATCAAATAGAGCTATTTTTCAATTATTATTATTATTAATTCTAATACAGAAATGGTTTCTAGTTAGGAAAGTTAAATTATTCAAAAAAACTGATTCCTGTTTCAGATAATGTTGTCGTAAACTTGCTACACCACTCAGTGGTTGATAGGGCAATAGGGACATGTCCTCACTTGTAACTGTAATGAGGGCACTTGTTAAAATTGTAACCTCTCTCTTACACAATCCACACGTCTTTCATTCCATGGAGGAAATGATGGTGTCAGCTGATAAAATTCTGACAAGGCATCTCTTAGAAGATTCAGGAAGCAATCCTAGCGAAAACCTGTCTTCACAGTGTCAACATGCATAACAATGAAATATTCATGAAAACTTTTGACATGAATGTTAATATTGGAAAATATGCCATCTGTGATGTGAAATTTTTGACATCAATGAAAACTGTTCTTTACATGCTGTGATAAAAACATTACCACTAAAACCAGGTCAACATGTGTCAAGATTTTCAACAAATAATCAAGAAATAATTTTAATAATAAAATCTCTTGTGTAAAAGAGGAGGGGGAGAGGAATTGGTGTAGAGGGTGTGAAAGTTGGGAAACAATAAAGTATGGGGTTGTGGGGAACTGGTGTGTGGAGGGTAGAGGAATTAGAATGAAACAATGTGGGACTGTGGGGAATGGTGTGTGGAGGGTAGAAGAATTATGATAAAACAGTATGGGACTGTGGGAAATAGGTTTGTGGAGGGTAGAGGAATTAGAATGAAACAGTATGGGACTGTGGAAAATGGTGTGTGGAGGGTAGAGGAATTATGATAAAACAGTATGGGACTGTGGGAAATGGTGTGTGGAGGGTAGAAGAATTATGATAAAACAGTATGGGACTGTGGGGAACTGGTGTGTGGAGGGTATAAGAATTATGATAAAACAGTATAGGACTGTGGGAAATGGTGTGTGGAGGGTAGAGGAATTATGATAAAACAGTATAGGACTGTGGGAAATGGTATGTGGAGGGTATAAGAATTATGATAAAACAGTATAGGACTGTGGGAAATGGTGTGTGGAGGGTAGAGGAATTAGAATGAAACAGTATGGGACTGTGGGAAATTGGTGTGTGGAGGGTAGAGGAATTAGAATGAAACAGTATGGGACTGTGGGAAATTGGTGTGTGGAGGGTAGAGAAATTAGAATGAAACAGTATGGGACTGTGGGGAACTGGTGTGTGGAGGGTAGAGAAATTAGAACGAAACAGTATGGGACTGTGGGGAACTGGTGGGTGGAGGGTAGAGAAATTAGAATAAAACATTATGGGACTATGGGGAACTGGTGTGTGGAGGGTAGAGAAATTAGAATGAAACAGTATGGGACTGTGGGGAACTGGTGTGTGGAGGGTAGAGAAATTAGATTAAAAAAGAAACAGTATGGGACTGTGGGGAACTGGTGTGTGGAGGGTAGAGGAATTAGAATGAAACATTATGGGACTGTGGGGAACTGGTGTGTGGAGGGTAGAGAAATTAGAATGAAACAGTATGGGACTGTGGGGAACTGGTGTGTGGAGGGTAGAGAAATTAGAAAGAAACAGTATGGGACTGTGGGGAACTGGTGTGTGGAGGGTAGAGGAATTAGAATGAAACATTATGGGACTGTGGGGAACTGGTGTGTGGAGGGTAGAGAAATTAGAATGAAACAGTATGGGACTGTGGGGAACTGGTGTGTGGAGGGTAGAGAAATTAGAACGAAACAGTATGGGACTGTGGGGAACTGGTGTGTGGAGGGTAGAGGAATTAGAATGAAACAGTACGGGACTGTGGGGAACTGGTGTGTGGAGGGTAGATGAATCAGAATTAAACAGTATGGGACTGTGGGGAACTGGTGTGTGGAGGGTAGAGGAATTAGAATGAAACAGTGTGGGACTGTGGGAAATTGATGTAGAAGGTGGGTAAATGATAAAATGTAGGATGATTGGGAAAAACATGGTGAATACATTAGGGCATCAGTTGTGCTTTAGACTGAGGATAGGTGAAGGTAGGATCAAATAAAATTCCTGGGATTTTAATGAATACAGATAATTGTACTGTTACACACAATTTCATTACTTGTATTACAAATTTCCCTGACAGCCAAATGCCTATGAGTATCTTAGGGGACATG